AGGAAGATAAAAGAGATTTAGAATGACAAGTAATATTTCCACAGTACTTTGAATTACACTTAATTTTTTTTAAAGGGGCTAATTCTCATGTACAACTAATTTGAATGGAGTGACTACATTTTTTACATGTGTAAACTATTTATTAATAGACAAGTTTGAAAGTGAATGAAGTGACTTTAAATATTGTCCACCTCCAAGAACATTATCTTGGCAATGAGCTACATGTTCTTATGATATGCAGAAAGTATCTGCGAATCTGCTATATAGATTTCAGCAGAAACACTGTTGCAAACTTATTTGATTAATATTGACTTTTAGCTTTAAATTCTCATTTCTACATGGCATTCCTTTCCTCTCTTCACATTTGCTTTCGGTTCAGTGGTCAAGACACAGCTCTCAAGTGTCTTCTGAGATGCTATCTATCGGTGAAGAGACAGCCTTGCAAAGATTTGGACTTTTGTATTCTAGGCAGAAGCAAAAGCAAAAACAACCCCCCGAGAAAGGAATGACTTGGTTTACTTGAAGAACACAAAAGTCAACAGAGTTGGCATGTGCTGAAAGAAGTAGCAGGTAAGGATTAAGTGTGAGAAGTTATTAAGCAGAGGAGTAAAATGTTTTTATTTATGCAGAGGCACAGTGAATGATGCAGGAAGCCTCACAAGAAGATGTCACTACATCAAAAAGAACTAGCCAACATTCAACTATTCCAAGAGACCAAATTCAATGGTAGTGAAGGAAGAAGCCAAGTTACACTCAAGGCATTAATAAAAAATAAGGCTCTATGAAATGACCAAATATCAAATGAAATATTTCAACATGCTATCAAACACTTATAGCACTCACTGGTCTATGCTAAGAAATTTGGAAAACAACTATTTGGCCAACTGACTGGAAGAGATCCATATTCGTATACTTTCCAAAGAAAGGTGACTCCACAAAACACAGAAATTATCTAACAATATCATTAATATCACATGCAAGTAAAATTTTGCTGAAGACCATTCAACAATAGTTATAGCAGTACACTGACAGGGAACATTCACGCTGGATTCAAAAGAGGATATGACACATGGGATATCACTGTTAAATTAATGTCAGATGGATCTTGGTTGACAGCAGGGTATACCAGAAAAATGTTTACCTGTGTTTTATTGATTATGCAAAAGCATTCAACAGTTTGGATCACAACTAACTAGGGATAGCATTGAGAAGAATTCCAAAATACTACATTGTGCTCTTGCAGAACTTACACATAGACCAGTCCTTCAAAAGACCAAAGGAAAA